GTTTACTCGAAGATATATTTAATGTTACTTGTTCATTGTACTTCTGCAGTGTTTGGACACGGTCAAGTTTGAATGTCAACTTATACGTGTGTGTACAAGAGGCTTGCGGCAACTCATTGTATAGGATGCAGACACAAGGCCTGTGGAATACTAATTATTTGTATGGAACAATGTCCCTCAGCTATGACTTCTTTGAAGACACTACGCATTGTTTCCACTTAAAAATGTCTTAGTTTTGAAATATGAATTGTAATTTGTAATAAAAATGTACTTTATGTACATTTTTGGTAAATTATTTAATAGCAAGGTACTTTAGGACACTCTTTTATTTAAGTTACTAGTTATCGGTCAAATTATTTTATTAATTGTATACCTAAATATTTATTCGGAAAGCTCTCTTTAAATTACTTAATTGTAACTTGCAAAGCTACTTAACATCAAGTGGGTCTGTGGTCAAGCACTAGTTCATTAAATATAAAAAAAAATGTGTAACTGTACGGGATTGGTGATCCAGTTCCATCCCAATTAAATAATGCGTTGTTCATGGTTTCGAAATAATATATTATTAAAAATAAAACTAAAATATTTATTTTCATTTAAAATACCATGCATAATTGTTATAATCTCATTAAGAAATACTAATAAAAAGAAATATTTACATCAAAGTGATAGATAGTTTCATCATCATCATCATCAGCTCACTATACGTCCCCACCGAGGGGCTCGGAGCCTACCCTAAGTTAAGGGTAATCAGACCATAGTAAAAATCTTAATAAGACAATTATTTTATTTTATTTAGTCACATTACAATCTTTTTAAAAGTATAAAATCGTTTAAAAAATAAATGCCAGCTTGATAACTTCACGCGTTTTCGAGATAAAGGGCCTTGACAGATATACGGACGGACGACAAAATGATCCTGTAAAGGTAACGTTTTTTCCTATAAGGTACGGAACCCTAAAAACATGAAAATATGTATTAACTAATCATTCCAGTTGATGCGTAAAAATTTTAAAAGAAAGAAGTCTATTTCAATACTAGCTGTCGCCCGCGAATCCGTCCGCGCGGAATTAAAAAAAGTCTTTATGAGTAGCCTACGTGTTTTTCCACATGTGTGACAAATTTCATCAAAATCCGTTAAGCCGTTCTGGAGATACCTTCAAACAAACATCCATCCATCTAAACTTTTGCATTTATAATATTAGTAAGAAATGAGATACAAAGGTTCAACTGAGTATTGAGAAGGAAATTGATTAATTTTTCAATATTTTGATAATTGTAAAGAAAACTACATTCAAATTACAATCTAAGTTAATTAATAATCAATATTAGTAACATTTTTTTAACGAGCATCGGTGGTCAAGCATTTGACTTGCGATCTGCAGGTCCTGGGTTCGAATACCGCCATGTACCAATGTGTTCTTCGATTTCCGATTTACATATGTACATTTATCCTACGTTCTTACGGTGAAGGAAAACATCGTGATGCAACCTGCACATATCTGAGAAAAATTTCAAAGATATGTGTGAAGTCAACCAACCCGCATTGGGCCGGCGTGGTTGACTATGACCTAATCACCCTTAACTTAGGGTAGGCTCCGAGCTCCTCGTTGGGGACGTATAATGAGCTGATGATGATTAGTAACATTTAATTAGTATTGTAGGAAATTCCGGGTCGTTTCATTGTTTTGCTTCCAGCTTCTACTAATATTGGTGAATAGTTGTATATAGCAGGCGTCGATGTGCACTCATTGTGCGGTATAGGGAAAACATATTTTATATCCACGTCGTATCTGTAAAATGAACATTTTTTATTACAATACAGCTCAGAACAGATGAAACTAGAATGTTCTAGTTTGATATAAAAATATTTAGTTCAAATTTATATTTTATATGCAATATCGAGAGAGAAAATAAGGTGTTTAATTATGAAATAATCATGAAGAAATACACTATCTAATTTGAGTTTTGTACAATTTCAAATAATGCTTGAAAAATGCATTATAACTAGTACATTTAATCGTGGATTTCTGAGACCAAACCGTTTAAAACATATTGATATCTCTGTTTTATGCAAGATGCAAGTAGGAATGACGATATGTGTTATACCATTATTTTGGTCTCAGAAACCATCGGTTAATGCTTGAAACAATAATTATTATTTTAAATTTCTTCCGCCGACTTCGGTATATTTATTTCTCCTTCCTTTTAACACGTTAGCTGCCAGAATGATTTTTCGAAAAATTATTTTTTTTTGTTTTTTTTTTAATTTTATCCAAAACCATTTCAATTGGGCCTTGCGGGTCACGCTGTATACAACAATTCGATTAAAAAGCCACAGCGAGGTGTTGAATGGAAGTATGGCTTGTCGGACACATAGTCCGACATCGCAGCTAACGTGTTAAGCAAAGATACAGACAACGTATTCATAACTTGGATGATTAAGATGATGATGTAAAAAAAAAATAAAAAAAAATTGTTACCTTGGAAGCTTGTCCCTTAAATATGCCATGACATTTTTAGGCAGAGTTGTCTTTCTTGACAATACGAAAGCACTCAAGTATCGAGCGCCCTCTCTCTGTTCCGCGCAATGTAGTAACAGTGCCCAAGTCTTGTACTCCGTGTCCAGGACGTATGTGTTGTAAATACCATCATCTGTGTTCATTCAGAAATAAATAGCATGATCAATATAGAAAAAATGTTACGTGAAAATCCTAGCCTGTACTTCAAATAACTGCTAGTCGTAATAACGAATATATTAAAATAAGTAAATATTTATTAGATTTTCTTTGTAGTAAAAGAAACGATGGACAAACGACAATAAAGATCTTGTAACCGTTAGTTTTTGAGTCCAAATTCTCTGTATAAAATATACAGTCATCCCTGTCATTATCTTTGACAAAACAGAGATAACAATATTTTCAAACGGGCGATTTAGGTCTCGGAAACCCACTGTTAGTGACCCATATAACTTTGTTATATTGGTGTAACAAAATACTTCTTCAAATCTGTGTCGTAAAAATATTTTATAAAATTTTTATATAAACTTTATAAAGCATTACACGAACACCCCTTCCCTTTTCCACCTTTATATCAGTCGGGTGCATAATGTAAGTTACTTTTTATCGTGATAGTTGAAATCGAATACGTAAAGGAAATATATTTCCTTCAGTTTATTAAGAATAGGCGAGCCATTAGGCAAGGCGTGTTTTCATCACATCCCTTAATTCATGCTTTTTTCGCTACCGACGGAATTTAGAAAAGGCGTGTTGTAGCAATGAGAATATTAACAAGTAAAAAATGTGTACAGAATACATCAATCAATTACCGACAATAGTAATTTTACAAAGAATATACTACAAACATAAAAGAGAGTTTTGTAGTAAAAGGTTTTAATTATGCGGTCTATATTGATAAGCAATTTTAATGCCAATAGCCTAATTGTTAGGAGTACAGATTTCCTATCTGGACGCGAGTTCGAATCCCGCCATTCGACTATTGTCGTAAACCATATCCTAGCACACGCCTAGAGCTTACTTGGAATGGTACAAAAATATAAGGTAATTAAAAAAAATGCTAATATTTAATTTAAAGAAAAATTGTTGTCACAGTAACTGTATAGTATTTCTCACACAGAGTCGTTAAATGGTGGTTTCTGTACACTATGGGATCGTTTAAGCATTAAGTGACTTACAAGTGAGTTCGGAATGAGTCCAGTGCGCAGGCTCGTTCAAGTCAACTCGCCATGTTATGTTGCCGAGCAAGTTCTCTCCGAGAGGATCGTCCGCGAAACGATATGTGAAGTTCATAGTCACACCCGGCGTCCATTCCACTGATCCATCTGAAAAAAACAATTATAATATAAAATATAGCCCTATAGTCAATCTAAAGCGAAGTACACGAAGTTTTAGAAAGTTAAAAATATTATGGCTCACTTTTTGTAATTACTTTGACGTGAGTTTAAAAGTACAAAAAAATGTTACCAGCAGTTTGAACATGATCATCTTCGGTGAACACTGCTCTCATGCAGCTATATGAAAGTGCCTCTTCAGCACTAGCATAGTATTCCACAACATACCAATCCCCCAGCATCTGAAAACGATCGAATACTACATAAATATTTATATTAAAAAACGCCTACAATTTCTTGAATTGAAAAATTGCTATGAGATTTCAATAGGCGTTTTATGTCATAGATGGAATATAATAGTAAGATGAAACAAAATTGCCAAAACACTTAAAAAAGCTTATATATCATTTTAATAAATGGTGAGAAAAAAAACGTTAAGTTATTAAATACGTCAGATACAAACTGTACTTGGTAATACTGACATTTATTATATGTAAATATTTAAACAGCAAGGATTAAGATAGAAATCTATACACAGATTTTTATCCGACATAGTGACTATTGTAATATATTCATAATATAGCTAATTGAAAGTGAAAATGTACCGAGTATCAATACATCAGTAAACATTAGCTCCAACGTATACGTCTAACCATAGTAGTTCTATTGTGATTTAATAATGTATGCAAATTATTTTATTGAGCTGTCAATTTGAAAGACAAATACAAAGGCTTGTTTCAAATCAATATACTGAGACTTACAATAGACATTTTTAACTTACTTGTGCTGAATTTAAAAGTGAAAACCCGGATATAAAGTTAACTACGAAAATGTGCAATTAATAATTTAGATATCCGACTTAATGGAATCAGTGGATTATAAGTAGAAGCATGTCAATTAGTCGTTACTAGCCATTGCTCGCGTAACGTAATGAGTAGCCTATGTGTTCTTCTAGACTATGTTCTACATATGTACCCTTTCAACAAGATCCGTTGAACCGTTCCGGATATATCTTTTAATAAACATCCATCCATCCATCTAAACATTCGCAATTATAATATTAGTAAGATTGACCATCCATACCATTCTTAAATTGACTCGTGACATCAGATATGTGCAGGTTGCATCACGAAGTTTTCCTTCACCGTAAGAACGTTGCATAAATGTACATATGTAAATCGAAAAAGACATTGGTACATGGTGGGATTCGAACCCAGGACCTGCTGATTACAAGTCAAGTACTTAAACCCCTGAGCCACCGACGCTCTTGTATAAACATTTTAAAATTGTACATTAATTTGACATTTATGATATTAAATTGAATAGATGAATAAACTAAGCATTATAAAGCATACAAATAGTATGAATACAACTTTCTCTACTTGAATTTAGTGGAATAATTAATTATTTTTAATTACCATTTAAAAATAAGAATGTATCCCACGGCCGTGTTAAATACTTTTTGGGTATTCCTCGGTGTGGTTAACACGTTAGCTGCTAGAATGATTTTTAGAAAAACGAAAAAAAAATTATCCAAAACCATTTGAAAACACCTAAAAATTGCTCATATACTAATTATTTACATATTGACAATTCGTCGACATATAGTCCGACACGGCCTTGCGGCTTACGCTGCATACAACAATTCGATTAATAAGCGTCCGACAAGCCACAGCGAGGTGTTGAATGGAAGTATGGCTTGTCGGACATATAGTCCGACATGGCAGCTAACGTGTTAAGATTGAAAAATAGACCCTGTAGGTGGCGTTGTCATAGCGTTGCAGGAGAAATTTGTACCAAATAATAGAAAATAATGTAATCTCATATTACCGTTCATCGTAAGAAGGCAAACACCAGAAACACATTTATGTAATTAAATGGGTCTGCCAAATAGTTCCGACATTGTTTTTCTTGAATGTACTAATGGTATATAATCGCAAACAAAAGTGTATTTATATCAGCTTAATGAACAATTTACTTTGGACAAATAATAGATAAGTTAATTTGCACTTTATAAATTATTTACCGTGGGTTTCTGAGACGAAATCCCTGTAATGTTTGACAAAACTACAGTTTTAGACTAAGTAGTTTAGTCCCCAGGAAATATTTCATTTATCTTCATCATAAGCTCACTATACATTCCCACTAAGGACTTCGGAGGCTACCCTAAGTTAGGGATGGCTATGCAACATCATAATCAACCACGCTGGCCCACCGCGGGTGGATTGACTTCGCGTATCTATGAATTTCTTCGCAAACACGATGTTTTTCTTCATCGTAAGAATGTTGGATTAATTTACATTTGTAAATCGACAATAGAAAAACATATTGGTAAATGGCGTGATTCGTACCCAGGATCTGGAGATTAAAAATCATGTAACTCCTGAGTCACCGACATTTTAATTTGTAATTAAATAATATTCGTTTGTCAGTATTCATTCACAAGCAAACAATTTATACAATCGTTATCATATATCCGCCACCTACTCAACGCTTGGAGCTCGCTTGTTCAAAATATTGATACGAGTTTAATTTATTACGTACTTTATTATGTTAATTTGGAATATTATTCAATATTGAAATGAGAGAAATTACGTGTTATTTGGATGAATATTGCTGCTATTGCAATTGACATTTTTTTTTAATTTATTACATACAAGATTCCTTGTTTATCATTTATATGGTTTAATTTACAATTATAACATCCAAATCATACCAATGCTATAGTCTTACATAATATTTTAAATGCGAATGTTTAGATGGATAGATGTTTATTACAAGGTATCCCCGGAACGGCTCAATTTAAAGGGACGATTTTTGACTTTTACCAGTCAAAAATGTAAAAAGTTTTTGGAAAATGTTTAAAATATTCAACATAGTTAATTAAATATTATAGTATTTTGCACAATTCTATAAATATCTATAATTTCATTCATTATCGTTAGTCTATTTTATTATTATGCTTTTTAAATTTCTAAACATTTGTTTTTAAATTAAAAAGATGGAAAGTCAAATATATTGCATTTTTATACAGTCACCTGTGATAAATCGAAATGTGGAACAGCGCGGACTTCCGGACATTTTCTTTTATTCACAATCCTTGCAAAAGCAACGTCGAATATAACAAACAAAATCACAAAGACTACAACAATTTTCGCCATAATTTAGACCAAACTACTAGATGACACAACTAACAATTCTTTTTTTTTATTTCTCAATCGTTGTTGTAATAAAAGTGTACGGTATTTCAAAAATATGTTTTCGTGACTTCAAAACGTATTACTCATTCGAGGAATAAAATGCGACTAACAGAAGGGAATTGTTATCAATATTGTATGGGACATTTGTTAATGCGTTGGCCGGGACGTTGGCAGAATACTATTATCAGATATCTATGAGTCATTGTTCTATTATTTTTGTACATCGTTATCCTTTAACAACTTTAGTGACGTGTTGGCATTGATTTTGTTGACACATGAATAAGTTTGGTTCATAAATCATTATATCCTCAAGTAGCTGTTGCCTGTGTCGTCTGCGCGGTCTCAAATAACTACTAGTGGCATGTGAACTTCCAGATTATGTTCTAGATGTATACAATATTTCATTAAGATCCGTTCAGCCGTTGTGGAGATACCTTCAAACAAACATCCATCTATTCATCCATCCAAACATTCGCATTTACAATATGAGTAAAATACCACAGATGTAAGTAAGGTGTATGAGAGTTAATCTAAATCTATAGTATTAATAAAATTGGATTGTCTGTATGTTATAAATAAAACATATTTCATGAACATATTGTATTTGCTTTGCTTTTAACGAAAAACTAATTTAAAAAAAATCTGTCTATCTTGTTACAAGTGTGTCCGGACAATCATCGAAACGTCAGGACTGATTTTGATGGTTTTTTTATACTGGAAGATAGCTGATATATGCGGGAATTACTTAATATATTATTCATTCCACTATGATAAAGTCGCGAGCAACGCCTAGTGCAACATATATTAAGTAAAAACTCATAGAAGAAAATATAAAATAATAAATAAAATAAATGTTTGTCTTATTGTTTAAATCATAATCTGTACCATAGTAACAGGTGTGATGGTCGACTGGTTCCTAATCGCAAACTATAAACAGAATTCTTGTTGAACAACTTGTTTTCTAACCCACTTTTATACATCGTGTCAAATATACAGGTTCCATAAATTGTCTTAGAATTCGGCAGGATTATCTGGTACGAATTTTAAATTGCCAAAATTACTTTCCAATTGCTTTTACCGTGATTTTACATTTGTTTTTACTAAAATTCCATACAAAAATCTTATGTTCTGGATGTTATGTCGATTAGATTTTTTTTTATAACAGAAGGTGGCAAACGAGCAGCGGGAAAACCAAGGTGTTCGACGACGCCTATGGATATCAGCAATACCAGAGGAACCACAGATGCGTTAACGGCCTTTGAGATTATGAAAAGAGTGTTCTCTTTTACAATCTTCTATCCTTTTGCTTGCTTATTCTTTTCTGTACGAATAATGCTAATATATCTTTTCTTCCACATTACCAAAATTAGGAAAGAGTATTTGGAATTTGACGTTTTAAATTTAAAAAAAAACAGGCCTTGCTAAAGAATCAACCTAATTTGTAACCAAGCTAGCTATTAGCTTAATAAAAATCACATTAAAATGACTACTTATCTACCTGAATTAAATGTGAGAAATTATTCCTAATACATTTATCTTGGTCAAGTATTCGTTCTAACAACTTACGCCAAAAGTAAACAGGCACCGACGCAAAAGAATGCGGCACAATAAATTCGAGTTTAGAATGCCCCGAGTAATTTTACTGAAGAAAGTGTTTTTGCTTTTTCCCCGTACGGTCTGTTATTTTCACCGATCTATACTTATCTCAATGAGGTCAAGGGAACAAATTTGTTATTCACGACTGCACCCTATTGTGCATATTAGGTAGTTAAACTTGCATTTATGTTAACTTACTACGTACTTTAGTTGTATAGAAGTGTTTTATTTGAAACTAGCTGTCGCCCGCAACTCCGTCCGTGCGGAATTAAAACAAAACTATTGGTCGCAGCGTAATGTTATATAGCTTAAAGCCTTCCTCTATAAATAGCCTATTCAACAAAAAAAGATTTTTTTCAAATCGGACCAGTAGTTCCTGAGATTAGCGCGTTTAAACAAACAAACTCTTCCGCTTTATAATATTAGTATTGAGGTAGTATAGACTAGATATTACCCGTTGTTTCTTGGCTGAATTACAATTGTTAAAAACAAAATATGGCTCAAAGAAGCTCTTGCTTTCTAATGGTGAATGGATTACTTGTATCGATTATTTTAAAGCTTATTATTATACAATTCTAATAATAATTTCTTATTATAAAGTAAAATGTCATTTAATTTACATTTTTAGATTAGAAATATAAATATGAACAGACAAAGATTTGCAATTTATTGAGCAGATATTTATATGTTTTCTAGTATCTGTCCATTCTAAATGTTGTTAAATTACGTTCAAATGTTCGCTTGGAATCTTCTTACGAATCTAAATTAGCTAGCACCTCAGGAATCACAATCAATACCTTTTTGTGGTATAACTGGCAAACAGAGCACGTACAAACTGCCAGCGAACTTTCTTAACATTCTTCAATACCTTTCCTTTTATGTTCTAAATCATCTTTTAAATCTTTAGTTGTGGAAATGTATGAAAATGTATATTTAGTCTTATCTTTTAGTATTCCTGACTGAAAGATGAGGTTTTTAGTTTACTATGTCTATCAATTTCAATCTTTTAGTCTCATCTCTTTAGAGACCACATATAGCCTAAACGTCTTGGTTTCTATTTTAAATTCATTTTTCACCAAAATATCGTAAAGATTATAATCAGTCGGAGCATATTAATAGATGTTTATTGTTGTTCATACCCTTCACGTAGGTTTCTCAGACCTATCTCTGTTTAAAACATATCATTATCTCTGTTATCAAAGATGATGATACAGATGACGTTGTTTTATACAGAGATTTTGGTCTCGAAACCTACTGTTAATGTTCTTAAAAAAATTTATTTTTAATTCTTTTTTTATATTTAATTTTCTATTTTAAGATGTATTTGTTATTTAAGGCCAGTGACCTTGACTTTTCAAAGTAGACGACAAACTACATCTGAATATTGGGCTATAAACCTACTTGTTATGCGAGACGGTTCAATGTTGAGGAGTGGCAAAACGAAGTTGGTGAAAATGTTCTACATTTAAATCAATTGATTACATTAATAAGGAAATAGTTAATCGTTTAAGTTTATGTTAAATGTATAAACGGATCTTGTAAATAAGAAAACCATTAGACTAAGTACAGAGTTTAAGTTAATATTTCATATTAATGAAGCTTGTTTAAGTGATAACTTACTTAATTTTACATTTATGACTTAGGTTAATTAATATAACTAGAAAGTGGCAAGTACACCATGTCATCGCAATTATTTTTTTATAATACACTAGCTGTAACCTGCGACTTATTCCGCGATGAATTAAAAAAAATATTTAATTAGTAGCCTATGTGTTCTTCCAAAATATGTTCTATATCCCGGCCAAATTTTATCGATATCTGTTAAGCGGTGCTGGTGATACTTTCAAACAAACATCCATTCATCCATCTAAACATTCGCATTTATAATATTAGTAAGATTACATTTTTTTATTTGATTTCAAGCCAATGTAAATGGCTTGCTTTTATTGTATTTTTTACTTTTATATTTTTATATTTCGAATTCTTGTTCTTTTCTTGAAGTATGCTAGCAGTTTTCATTACGTCTTTTCGTTTTTTGCTTAGTAGCTGTCGCCCGCGACTCCGTCACCGCGGAATAAAAAAAAAAAAACTCAAAAGTAGCCTAAGTGTTCTTCCAGACTATGTTTCATGTGTATGCCAAATTTCATCGAGATTTTTAGCGACCTTCAAACAAACATCCATCCATCTAAACAAATTTTTATATCCATTCTTTTGTAAATTATTATAATTAAAATCAATTATTGCTGGTACCTTTTCTCTACATGATTTTAAAAATAGCAGTGTTAAAGGATGACCAAAAATGTATTTACAAGAGTGTGTCGGTGTGTAACTGAAGAGAATGCTTTCGATATTCTTAACCGGCTGCCCTTTTTTATAATTAACTGCTAACGTGGGCGGTCACTTGACGGCTCTTGAGGTGACTCTTTATAAACTTTCTTCGACACTTTATACTTCATTTATTTATACGATTCATTTCTTTTACTGTACTCCTTAACCGTTCACAATCTGATATTAAAAACGTAATGTCATATTTAATCTGTGGGATGAGTGTTAAAGTGGAAATATCTTTTTTCCTTACATCAAATCTTTTGTCTTTTCAACAGGCAGGTAACTCATCTGGGGGGTTAGACAAAGTGCATTCGCTTCGAAGCGATTCCATAACGAACTTAATGTGTTCATAAATGTGTAGAACTGACAAGAACGTTGATGTTCGTTATAGAATCGTTTTGAAGCGAATGCACTTTGTGTAGCCCCGCTGTAACTCTAAATTGTTGCAGATATCTAAGGATAGCGGTCACTTGGATATTTTAGCGGTACTAAGTGGTCGCTTACTAGTTTGTCAAAACATTGTGACGTAAAACACTGGCGAATAAGCTCTTCTATCTAAGGAATTAATTACAATGTTTGGTTAAATGTTTTAGTTAATGGAAAGTCTAAGCAAATAGGATATTGTTCAAACATGGCGTCAATAAAAACGCACTTGTGCTTTCTACACACACGGAGTCTACCTGTTCTGTAGTTTGTTTTAATTTCTAACGACAAACGTGGAGGAACTATTTAGTGGGCTTTCTTTAGAATTGTTCGCAAGTTGTGTATATCTTCGAGAATTCTCCTTATTATGTATAAGAAAAAAGTCAAAGTAGGAGGTTAAAAAAAACTTTTTAAACATAATCTTTTCATTATTAATTTATTATATTAATTATACATATTTAGGAAAGATACACTGCTCGGAACACGATTCAAACAAACCCAAACACGATGAGGTTGTGTCGTTGGCCACCTACCAGCGCCATCATCATGTAAGCACCATGCCATAATATTCCACAGTCACGTGATTTACATCTGAATGCAAAATTTTATCTCAATCAATAAACTTGTGTTAATGAGTGGATTGAATTTCATTTGCAAAATTGGATAACAAACATCGGAGCAAGTGACACTTTAAAGTTTATAATAAGTGTGTAATAAAAAACATTAGAAGAACATTTTTGGAATCTCGTGTTATTCT